AATGTAATGGTTTTGTTTTATATTTCTGACTGCTTTTTTCTACAATCTGTATGAAATAATTAAAATCATTGTTCTACCTTTTTTTGGGGGAGTGGAAGACTTGCTAAGTAGCTCAGGCTGGCCTCCATTTAATGGGATTACAGGCTTGTACCACCCTACCTGACTGAAATCATCATCTTTCAAGTATTATTCTTTTTTTCCTTAAAAAATTATAGTTTAACAAAAGACTATAGTGACTTCTAGTTGATTATTTTAACTTAATTTTTTAACATTTTCAAATGTACAGAAATAAAAAATCCAATGAACCGATGCTATAGTTAATATTTTACTGTACTTGTTTCATCTTCTCCTACTTTAGTTTTTTGTCAAGAATTTGAAGCATATCCAAGACATAATTTTACCCCTAAATTAATATGCCTCTAAAACAACACATTTTTTACTCAGTTGCAATGGCATGTACATAAACATTATCATATATCACACACCTAATAATGAGTCTTTAATAGCATAGATGAGCCTTAGTCCATACACACATTTCCCCAGTTTAGTCTCTTAATTCTTTTGTAACAGCCCTCTCTCATTTCATTCATGTCCTATTTTGGTAGAGCAGTAGCTTGGTCTTTCTTTTATCCTTTGTAGTTCAGTTAAATCTATAGGTTCAAATTTAACTTTTTTTGTTGTCACTTTATATTACATCACATCCGGAAGCACATGTCTGGTCATTTCAATTTAAATATTGTTATAACTAATCAGAGAGTTCATCCAGGTAGACAGCTTGATCTTTCCTTGAACCCCAAGTTTTCACTTACTCCTTTTACCATATATTTATTACCAGTACATGAATTAGTTATTTAATTAAAGGTTGGAAAACTGTGATTATTCTAATTTGGTCACTTCCATTATTAACTAAAATTTCTCTCGGTTGAACTTTTTCCTCATTCTCTAGGATTGTTTGGTTAACCCGAAATATCTTATGTATTCTTGAGTTGTTAAATCCTCAGTTGGGGAACTGATGACTACTTGGTGCTTTAACTAAAATTCATTGTATTATTTTTCTAAGGCATATGATAATGTAATTTTCCTTCTTGAAGAAGTTAAAGTCACTTCTGAATGGTGGATTAGTGGTTTCCTGGGTTGGGTTATGGGGAGTGTCATTCAGTCCTGAGTGAGTAGTTCTAATTTTCTGAGGAGACCTAGGGTAGCAAAGGGAAAAACCAGGAAAAAAAGGGCCATATACCTGCTTCACTGCCGCTGGCTTGCTATTAAGGGTGTGGTGCTCACTTGAGGTATGGGAATTTACCGAGTCTTATACTTTACCAGAAAATAAATCAGACTCACTGTAGAGTTATTTAAATTTTAAAGATCTTTGGCCCTAAAAGGGCCCTAGCACAGTTTTGTAAGCAAACACATTAAATTAATGACTAGTTTATCTTGCAAACCTTCAGGGACCCCTGATGATTTGCTTCTCTTGCTAGCTTTCTCTGAAGCCAAAACAGCAGCAAAACTTTGTGCTTCTGCCATTTGGAGTTCTGCATCAAACACTAGAGGTGACAGAGGGGGTCATAGTGTGGCTCAGGCAGCCTGGAGAATTTCTCTTTCCATTGATTAAAAATAAATTTCAGGGCTGTCGGAGTGGCTCAGGTGATAGAGTGCCTGCCTAGCAAGCATGAGGCCCTTAGAAAACCCCAGTTACCACCACCAAACAAACAAACAAAAAAAACCATAAGCTTCATTCACTGAAATTTCTTATATAGTAGAATGGCTGTTACATTTTTCATGACCCTTTATTCACTGTATCACTTGCTTATACTCTTTAACTCTTTCACTGAATCTTACCTCTTTGGCCTTTCATTTTTTAGGACAGTGTTTTCAGCCTTCATGTTTTTCACTGTAAATTGTAGTGTGTTAAATTGCACAATGTATCTTAGTTGAACTTTGACCAATTGAAAAATTGGAGGTAAGGAGTGTATATCTTTTGAAAATGCATCTACATTGCTGTTAACATGTTTCTTGTTTACATCTCTCCTCATGTATAATCTCTTCCCCTTTATATATTCAACAGCAAGGATGGTTGGGCATGGTGGCCCATGCCTGTAGTCCCAGCTATTTAGGAAACTGACTCAGGAGGATCACTTGAGCCCACACATTGAAATACTGTCTCAAAACAAACAACCAAAAACCTGAATAGCAGGGGTAAAAAAAATGATCTCCATGTGATTTCATATACTTAGATTTAGGTCTTAAATCAGGACCCTAAGCAGCCAGAAGTTCTTTACACGTTCCTTTGGTATTAGATACCTCACCAGCAAATAGATTTTAGCAGTTGATTCTGAATTGCAGGGTTTTTTTTTAACAGTACTGGGGTTTGAACTTGGGACCTTACACTTTGTAGGCAGATGCTCTGCCACTTGAGCCATGTCCCCAGCCCTAGCAGTTGATCCTGAATAAAAGGGATTAATCCTTCCCAGGTCCCAGATTCCCATTGATTAGAGCTGGTAGCATTTGGAAGCCCCGTCCCAAGGAATAACTAAATATGTGTAGATATGCAGATTTTTCAGCTTCCTAGTGTTTTTTTAATTTTATTTTATCGTTTTTACATTTATTTAACATGCGTATACATTATTTGGGCCACCTCCCCCAGCCAGCTTCCAGGCAGAACCTGTTCTGCCCTCTTGTTCGCTAAAGAGAATACATAAGAGATAATAAGAAAAATACTCAGCTTCTTAGTCTTTATTGTCATTTTTCTTACTCTCAAATCCATGTTCAGTAACTGAATTGAACAAATGGTATTATTAACAAATAAGGGTAAAAATTATTACTGGTGTAGCCATAGTTGTTGCTTTGAGCTATTGGTAGATCTGTATCAAGAAAGACTATGTAACAGTATTAGCTTTGGTTTCTAGGTAGTTTATATTTTTACCTTATGAAATGTTCCTGCTCTTTTTAACATTATTTTCCTAGTATAATAACACACATGGATGTCTGCTGTGAATTAAACATGGACAAGAAGCTGTGAGGCCTGATTCCTTTTAGCATGTTTTTAAACCTCTCCTTCAGTTATCTTCTTGTGTAAAACAAGAGTTTGTTTTGGGATTGGGTTCAGGGTTTCTCAGCTTTAGCACAATTGGTATCTTGGGGTCAGTGATTCTTTGTTGTGAGGGGCTGTCCTGTGCATTGCGAGATGTTTAGGAGCATCTCTGGCCTCTGCCCACCAGATACCAATAGCATTCCTCCCCAATAGGACAACCAGAAGTGGCTCCAGACATTGCTAAATGTCCCTTATAGGGCAGAATTGTTCCTGGTTGAGAATCACTGGGTTAGAAGGTGTGTTAGAGTCCCTTCTAGGTTTATGATTCTGTTATTTTTTTGTTTAAAATAAAGTAAAGCCCACTCTTTGCAATTCATCTTAAATGTCATCCCATCAATGAAGCTTTCCTCAACTCTCTCCTTCTCTGTTTTGACTGCCCATTCAGTCATAACTACCACTGTGTTTCTTGCACTTTGAGGGCATGGGCCTTCTGTATCTCTAAGCTCACATTTTGTTAAGTGAAAGAACAATGGAGTCAAGATCATCGTATTAGAAATTGTTAAATGAATTTAAGTGTGTTAGCCTTTCCAAACCGTCCCACTAGGAAACTCCTATAGAACTGGAATTTCTGGATTAATGAGACTTTAATCTTTTTGGTATATCAGAAAATAGGAGCTTCCCTTATGTTTGAGCAAGAACTACACAAACACAAATAGGCTGCTTTTGAGAGAGAGTCACATAGAAATTCATAACATAGTTAAGCTATTTCAGTTTTCATATCCAAAGGTATCTCAAATAACTCCACTTTGTTTATTAATCAATTAGAAAGCTTCAGTCTATTCAGAAAAACATAAACAGGAAGGGTAAAAATGTTTTTCTTACATAACCTAGAATACTTCAACATATTCTAAGTCAGTATTTCTAAAAGCAAACCATAGTAAGAAATACATCTTAATCATTATCTATTACATTCATACCTGAAACAAATTTTCGAATTAATATGTATTAAGCACTTTGATATTTTCTGATTTTTTTTAAGAATGGCCACCACTTAGTAAATATATAATTCAGCAGTCAGTCACAACACTGCACTTGAAAAACACTATTTAGCAATAAAATGTGGTGATGATCTGCCTCTGGCATATGTCACTAATAGGTTGTCCTATCTTTCTTTTTAAATAATATCATTTAGGACTTGACCCCAACAAAGACATTAGAACGTCTTAACCAGAGCAAATTAGATTTCCATTTATTCTGAAGTCCTATATTTTGTGTTTATGCTGAGTTGTACATACAAAGAATGATAGCCAAAAGAGCATGTTTATTTCAAGTGCTGAAGGTAGTAACTTCACTTCACTGTTAATAGTAACAGTGACTATTATAGCCATTCAAAAATGGGAGAGAGCTGTGCTGATTGAAGTTTGTGATAGAAAATTAATGTGATTGTGGGGTAGATTTTGCACTGTCATAGCAGAGAGTAGAGAAAGCTATTATTATGCATAGTAGAAACAACATCAGGTAGGTGAACAGTACTACTTGTATTTGAAGTTCATTGTTTGGATAATATTCAAGGTAAAGTGAGAAACAAATACAAAAAGTATGGTAAAGTGTGGAAAACATGATGTAAACAGGGTATATTATTGTAGCTCTACTGTGGTTGTAAAATGAAGTTTACTCAGAAAGTTAAATAGAAACTTGTATGCATGATAGCTCTGGTATAAGCCAGTACTTCTCCTAAAATGATGATGTTAACATTGGATTATTAGATTTACTGAGAATTCAGATAATCTCTAAACGATGGAGAGAGAATGCTCATCTGTCAAAATAAATGAATAAGGGTTTTTGTTATTTTATTCTGTATATAAATTGCTCTTTGTAGACAGAAATAGTTTGTATAAGTCATTTTTTAAAAAGTTATATACTATTTCAGCTATGCAATTAAAAATTATATGCCTGCGTCATAGGCCCAGACTTAATCCTTTCTTTTCTAAATAGAACGAAAGGCTCTGGATGGTAAGTTACAACCAGGTGCACCACAAAAGCCTTAAGAAAATAATCAGTGGATTCTGTTTTTGTCTTTTTGAACCACAACTTTCTTCTGTGGAATAATGTAGAATTTAATTACTATAGTAGATATTTTTGATCTGAAAGAAAAGGAGATGATTCAGCTTGTGATGATACTTGGGAAAGAGCCACCTGCCCTAAAAGTATGGTCTAGCATCCTGTCTGCTGTTACTTTAAGACACCAGAGGTCTGTTAGTTTTTGTCATTTTCTATATTGTGTTGGGAAGTTAGCAGGATAACTGTCTTTTCATTTTACCAGATTTATAGACTACTGAAAATGTGCTTTCAGATCTGCAGATATGAATTAATAACTCCTGTGCCAGGGCTCATAGACCACATTGAGGTAATTTTTTCTCTAATTTTAAATACACTTGACTTTTTAGAACAGTTTTAATTGTATAGAAAAATTAGGAAGTACAGAAAGTTCCCAATAATCCCACACCCAGTTTCCCCTACTGTGAACGGTTTATGTTAACATGGTACATTTGTTACAATTAATGAATCAATATTGAACTATTATTACTAACTGAAGTCCATATTATATTTAGATTTCCTTAGTTTTTAACTTAGTGTTTTTTCTTCTGTTTCAGGAAACCACATCACATTTGGCTATTATGTCTCCTTAGGCTCCTCTTGGCTGTGACAGTTTCTCAGACTTTCCTTCTTTTTGAAGACCTTGACAGTTTTGAGGAATGCTGATCAGGTATTTTCTAGAAGATCCCTCAGTTGGGATTTGTCAGGTGTTTTTCTAATGGATACACTGGGGTTATAGATTTTTTAAAAGAATGACCACAAATACAAAGTGCCATTTGACATTCTCATCACATCTTATCCAGTCCTGTCAATAGGACTTATTGTTTATGATGATCTTGATCTACCTGACTGAAAAAGTGCCAGGTTTCTCCAATGTAAGTCAGTCTTTTCTTTTCATCCTTTTCTGTATTGCGCTCTTTGGAAAGAAGTCAAACAGTGTGCAGTCCATACTTAAGGAGTGGAAAGTTATGTTGCATCTCCTTGTGGGTAAATAATCTGCATAAATTATTTGGAATTCATGGGCATGGGAGATTTGTCTTCCTTCTCCACTTAACCACTTCTTTTTATTAATGTGGACTCGTGGATATTTATTTTTACTTTGGGCTTTATTTTTGATGTTACAATTTTTCTAGCTTTGACCAGGGGAACTCTTTTAGTTGACTCTTGTGTTGTTTTGACATATCCTCATCATTGTGGGATTTTTTTTGGTGGGGAGGGTGGTGTTTGAGTACTTCCTTACTTTCTGGCACTACAAGATGCTCCAGGCTTATCTTTTATAGTCACTGACCCAGTTCTAGAATCAGCCATTTCTCTGTAGGGCTGTGGTTCCTTTTGTTAGAGAATGCTATTAGAAATCAAGATCATGGTGCTAGATATACTCATTGATGCTTGGGTGTTGTTCATTTTGGGATCTCTTGACTGAAATTCCATGCATATACTCTATATGTTCAGGCATATGTCTGTGTATAGGTCATAGATAACAAACAGTCATTTGGGGGCTGTTAAGTTTAAATTAAATCTGAATATGCTCCTGTTAGTTTCTGGGGGCTATATTTAACTTGGAAAAAATATTTTGTGGTACTGGGGATTGAACCAGGGCCTCGCACATGCTAGACAAGTGGTCTATTAATTGAACTACACCCCCAGCCCTTAAAAATGTTTTTGATGGTCATTTTAATATGTTATTTTGGTGCTATATGTGTTTTGAGAATATAACAGAATATGAGATAGATGCAGTGAATATGTGATTATTTCAAAATGGTTTCTACTTTAATGAAAATCCTATCGTATAATGTTTTAGAAATTATTTGGAAGGTCCATTTAGGGAAAATAATTACTGTTTTCCTATTTCTTGTTATTTGTAGTACCTTTTACATATATGCACAAAGAATTCTAAAATTGGAACTCTTACCTTTGGCAGTAAAAGATCATTTGTTATGCTCCAGTATCAGTCATTTCTTGTTGCTGTTTAACTTGAAAAATGTTGTTCTAAGACGAATACCCTGCTGTTTTAAAAGCAAGGTTTGCTTTTAACCTGCCCTTAAGGGTTATGACATCATCATAGACTTCAAGTTTGTATCCTAACTTTATTACTTATTAACATTATAATGGTGACATGACAAATTATTTACCTTCTCTGAGCTTCAAGTTTCCTCATTAGTAAAATGTGGATATTATTGCCTCTCTTATGGGATTATTTTGTGGATTAAATGAGGTAAGGTACTTAGCACCGTGCCTAGTTCATAGATGTGGTCCAGTAAATAATTAAAATCACAACCTCCAAAGCAGCAAGACAATGGATGAAAGTTTCAAAGCTTTATATATTCTTGTTTTGGCCTAACAGTTATTACTGGATTAGACCAATTACTCAAATGAGTGATTCCTTCATTTTTTCAATCTTAAAAGTCCTCTCCAGACAATGAGAACCTTTCTTCAAACCTGGATATGCTTACATCACCAATCTTAACATGGTAGCAGTGGTTGCCAGCCAGCGTATTATTGCTTCTCTGAAGCCTGACAGCTGCTACTGAGATTTTATGGAAGGGGTCAGGATATTAAATACCTTTCCTTTCCTGGGACAGTCTTACACAATGAAGAATTATTGTGCCTAAATTATTGCCATTAGACACCCTAAACTGTTGTGTACAGTAGTATATTTAAACATCTGTATAGAACCCATTTCAGGTGCCACAAACCCAGCAGGTGCATAAGTAAGTGAAACAAGGTCTGACTTCAGTATCTAGGACCTCTACAGAATGTAGGAACTAGGGAAATAGAACCAGATTGACCTTTTTAAGTAAAGGGATGGTACTGCAGCTTCAGTCAGTTGCCTGCAGTTGCTAGATAATCTGATTTTTCAGAGAAAAGCTAGATGTCTAATTTTTATATGAAGTCTTCCTATTTTAAAATGTAGCTCAACTTTTTTCAAACACATGGACAAACCAGGCAGTTCTGTGGGCTGGATTAGGCAACCTCTGATATTATTTTAGAAAGTGAGCTAAAATTCTGATAGAGGTAAAATACTCTGATCTATAATGGCACCACCCTATGTATTTGCTGAGCTCAGAAAAGGCTGTGGAAACACAGTACTAAAGTGTTCACATCATTTTCTGGAGCATGGAGAATTGTGGTATCAGAGCAGAGCTCTGGGAGCGCTTCCTCTGATTATGAGGAGGAATTTTTTTTTTTTTTTGGAGAAGTCCTAGCAGCTACTTTTCCAGGAACAGAACCTGCTGTGCCTCGTGGTGCCAGTATTCCTAAATTAGGGAGGTGGCTGTACAAACAGTGGAAGCCTCCATGATGCCACTGCTAAGTAAAGTATTTGGGCCCCCATTCTTTTCTTGCTTTCAAAAATGCGGAGTCCCCACAAAACCAACAGGCGGTAAAGGTTACCCCTGTAGAATCTCCTGGTTCATGTGACTCCTGAGCTATGTGATACTGTAAGTATTTCTTCTTTCTTGATTTAGGATTACTGCCCACACAACTCAACAAACCACAGCTGTGGCCACCTGGGCTTCAGTGCGAGTGTTTCAAGGGTGTCCCAGGAACTTGGTCAGATCTGACCCTAGTCTCTACAGCTCAGAAACTGCTTTGTGTCCTCTGCCTGGTTTTAAAATGTCAAGTCATCATTTATTACTTTTGATATTGTATAAGAAGTAGCACTCCATTATAATGTTAGTAAACAAAGTCAGTATGTCTTCTGCATCTTAGTAGTTGGCTCATATATTGAGATATAATATATATATACATATATATGTGTATATATATATATATATATATATATACATATATATGTGTATATATATATGTATATATATATATATATATATATATATATATATTAGCCAAAGCTATAATATAATTTGACACTATATGACATTTTCATTTTAGTTGTTTGTGATGGCACTAAATAAAAAAATATAGTACTTTATTGTAAAACTTTAAAGTGTTTTTAAAGGAAGATGACTATTAGCAGGAATGTTTTCTCTTTAAACTGTTGGCTTAACCTCTTAGGGAACAAAAGGGAAATTATTTTTTAAATAAGTGTTTTAACTTTCTATAATCTTCAAGAAATTACTACATTTATTTGAGATTGTTATATAGTACTGTGAAATACTAAGTGATTATCCTTATCAGTAAGTGTTTATGTGGCTATTATTTGCAAAAGGCAGAATGCTAATCAATATTAAGATTACATGCATAATCCTTTAAGGAAAATATGGTTTTTTTATCAGTTTATATTCCTATTTGTTGTGAAAAGTCAGTCTACTATTAATTTATTTAGATGATAGCAATTTTTGTAAGTATGTAAAAATTTGAAAAGTGCTTTAATAAGATTCTTCAAAGGCAAGTATTTGTAACCATTTTTTTAAAAAGCAACTTCTTTAAGCACTGCCTTTTATGCAGCCTAAAACAGCTAACTAATTTGTACAAGAATTGTTTCCTCTCCTCTCAGCTATGCACTTCCCCATAAATCTCTGCCTCCTTATTTGGATGATAAACTGTAAGATGCTAATCATTGGAAATGTGTCCTAGGGATGTCCTTTAGATATAAAGGACAGTGACATATAGAAAGGTCACAAACTTTGGACAAGGCAGGCTTGAATTTGAGTCATGATTCTGCCATATGCTCGTTCTGAGATCATTTTTTTATTTGTAAAATGGAAATAAATTAGAGTTACCTTTGAGGGCATAGTTATTTAGTAAATGGTTGCTGATAATAGTGATAAAATTAATGATAACTTTGTTCTGGAGAGTGACAAAGCTAGTTGAGAGCTGGCAGCTCCAAAGTCCTCTCAAGTATATGGAGTCAAATATATGCTCTTGCACCTGAAGCCTATCTGTTCTTGTTGACTCTAGTCTTTTCTTCTTTCTCATAAAAAGACAAGTGTATTTGCTTAAAGACTTCTTAATTAAGGTTTGGGAAATGAAGGAAAAAAGAGCCACCATGAAATCTCAAGTCAAGCATTTGAATGCTTCAGAGCCCTTCATTGAAGTTTTTGATTGAGTAGTCATGAGTTGTTCTGAATGTGGTCAGCCCCAGCCTCAAATATTGAGGGGTCATTTCCTGGTAGGAAAGCTGTTATTTCTATAAATACTGACAGATTTGATTAAAGTCACTTACCATTAAATTTGACTCATTCATTTTCCACTTCACGCAATAGCTAACTATGGAATACCTAGTTGTGCTGAGTCAGTGGTATACCCTTAAAGGAGATACAGGTTAAGTATCTCTTACCCAAAATGCTTGGAAACAAATATTTCAGAGTTCAGATTTTGGAATATTTGTACAGCATTCCTAATCTAAAATGTTCCCAAACCAGAAATTGTTTGTGCTCAAAACAGATTCAGGTTTTGGATTTTTATATTAGGGTTTCTCCATGTATAATGAATTCAGGAATCTAAGTTGTCTTAGCCCATTACTTAAATGAGGATCCTAAAGTTTTAGAGTTGCACTGTCTACTAGTCAGTAACCCCAGGTAGCTACTGAGCATTGAAAATTGGCCAGCCTGAATTGAGATTTGCTATAAGTATAAAGTACCAGATTTCAAGGATTTGGCTTGAAAATAATAATGTAAAATAGCAATAATTTTTAGTGTGGTTACATATTAAAACTATTTTCTGGGTTAAAAGTGTTACAATTAAGTTTACCTGTTTCTTTTTTCCTTTTTTAATAGGGCCATTAGAAAATTTTAAATCGTACATATATCCTGTTTTATATTTTTATTATAGTGAGCTGCCTTAGCACCTTAGTCACTTGACAAGTTTATTCTAGCTGTGAGTCTTTTGGCTAGTACAAATTATAGATGGCTTTGCTGTGAAAAATAGCAGGTAATGGATAATTCGAGCCTTGTTTCAGGAAATAGTTACATTAACACTTTCTAAGTAAAAGCCTAAATTGTTAATATAGCAGAATCTCTTAGTTTTTAAAATTTGGGACATTTTGAAAGCGGCAAACTGACAAAAGGTACCCATGGATTTGGTAGCCTAAGCCTATTTTTTCCCTTAGCATTCACAAATTGCTCTGTATGGGTGATCTCTACTCTCCCAATATTTGTGGGAGGGAGAGAAGAGGCAAGGGTACAAGATGCATCCATATTTCTTTGAATTTGAGTATAGTAAAATTTATTCATTATTTAACAGATATTTGAACAGACGTTGCGTCAGTCTCTGGAAATGTAGTGAATGAGGCATAGATAGAAGAGTTAAACTGTTTTCGTTTTCATTTTTTTTTCAAACTTACATAAAAAATCCTGTGTAAACTTTACCCAGATTCGTCTCTTAACATTTTTCTGTTTGTTTTAGTTTGTTCCTACTCTAGGTGTGAACATTGTGCAGATCTTGTATATATACACACATATATTATTTTTTCCTATTTGAGAATAGCTTGTATGCCTTTTACCCCTGAAGGCTTTATTATCTAATTCCTAAAATTAGGAATATTATTACATGAAACTTTATAGCACAGTTATGGTTTCAATAAACAATAAATTCAACACATTTCACATATATAGAATACTTTTAATGTACTGTCCACATTTCAGTTCTGTTAGTTGATCCATTAGTTTCTTTCATAAAATTTTTCCTCTTTAGTATAGGATCAGATATTAGTTTAGTTGTTATGACTGTGTCTCCTTTAATGTGGGACATTTTTCTAACCTTTGTCTTTTATGACCTTGACATTTGCAGATGGGGTGGTACTGGGGGGGTTGAACTCAGGGCCTGTTGCTTGCTAGGCAGGCTTAGTGCTTGTGCCAGTGGCACCAGAAGTAAAAGAAGGCCTAGCTAGGCATGTGTGCCTAATAACAAACCCCAGCATAATTTTTGAAAAAAAGATAGTACATTTCCTTTTTTTGTTTGCCCAGTTGTTTCATTTAGACATAAGGTTTCCTTTACTTAGATTTTAAAATCGGACTAGCAGAATGGCTCAAGTAGTAGAGCACCTGCCTTGCAAGCGTGAGGCCCTGCGTTCAAACCCCAGTACCACAAAAGAAAGAAGGATTCACCAATAATACCACAAAGTATACTTATTTGCCTTACATTCTACCTGTATTTTGAAGCCAAAAGATTTGTATTTAAAATCTAGTGTGATTTTTCTTTTTTTTTTTTTTTTGTGGTAATAGAGTTTGAACTCAGGGCCTCATGCTTGCTAGGCAGATGCTCTGCCACTTCCACTCCACCAGCCCTGTTTTGTGTTGGGTATTTTCAAAATAGGATCTCTCAAACCATGATCCTCCTGATCTCTGCCTCCCAAGAGTAGGTAGGATTGTACCATGAGCCAGTGGCACCTGACTCTTATTTCATTATTCTAGACTTCAAAGATGATTACTGTGCTTTAGAGGAGTGATGTGATAGCCCTTGGGTAAACATGAGTGATAATGCACAAGTAGGGTTTCTCAAGGCTAGAAAAATAGGGTTAACAAATAATAATATTCTACTTTTAATCTGTCTACTGATTTTTCTTAGAATTAAAAGAAACAACATTTAGGTTTTTGTTTTAATTTTGAACCACTGCTTGGCTATATTATATCAGAAGAATCCTGTCAAAGTTGAACTTGTCCATTTTCTAGCCTTGAAGTTAGGAATACTTATTTTAGGTTTCTCAGTTTCGATATATTGATGGTATTTGTTTGAATAAAGTAAAATATGTAATTAGGCTTTACCATAGTTTAATTTCTTTTAATAGAAAATGTCTGTGATGTTGGACGATCATTACTTTTGGAAGGCTGGTTAACATCCATTTCCTGCGAGAGAGTTGACCACCATTTGCTCTGGCATGGCGCAAAGCAGTCCACAGCTTGATATTCAGGTTCTTCATGACCTCCGACAACGTTTCCCTGAAATTCCAGAGGGTGTGGTGTCTCAGTGCATGTTACAGGTAAATTTCCTACCAGTGCCAGTGATACTACTAAGTTAAAGTTTTCTTTGAGTTAGCTTTGTATTGTGGTGAATAGAACTCAAATTTTTAGCTGTATATTTGTAGGGGGACATTTAGAGCAGTATTTCTCAGGTATGTTGTCATTGTTATTTTGTGCTAAATAATTCTTTGCTGTGGGGCTCTGCTTGTGTTTGGTAGGATGTTTAGCAGCCACACAACCAGTAGTATCTGCATAGTTGTGACAATGGAAAATGTCTCTAGATGTTGCCAAATGTCCCATGAAAGGCATAGTCTCTCCCCATTCAGAACCACTGATACTGAGAAAAGTAAAGGCATTTAGAAAAAAAAAGAATCTTCTTACATTTAACTTTATGAACTTTTGGGATTGTCATCAGTCCCCAAATCCTTAGAGCTGAATTTTTTCTCTTTGTTGTGGTCCTGGAGATGGAACCCAGGGCCTCATGCATGCTAGGCAAGAGCTCTACTATAGAACTGTACCTCCAGAGTTGAATTTTGAATTTCAAATTTATGTTAACTTCTTTAGAAATGGACTGTATGCTTTTTGAGCTCTTTTTCTTACTGTTTCTAGTAGGTAAATCCTTACTAATAGCTACTTTTTAGTGTAAAACCACATTTCTTTAGTTCAGAATCATTCCCTTTGTCTTGTTCTCTTAAACTGAAATAAATCTTTTGTTTCTTATATAAAATGTATCTCCCCCCCAGGGGTTACAGAGAAACAGACCTACTGCTCTCCCTGTTGTGTTTTGTATCATCCTTCACAGGATCTCAGTGTTGTTTGGGTTATGGTACTCCCTATGTGGCTGATTTATAGGAGCAGCACTTCTACCCTCCCTACTGGTCTTCCTTATACACAGTCAGTATTCATGTTCACACTACCTTAACTGCAGTGTGAACTCCTGAGAATATACTATAAACCTATATACAAGGGAGGTTTATTACAGTAGAGACTCACAGAACAATGGTGGTAACAGAGGTATTTCCTTTGGAAACCCACTACTGGGTCTTTGGGTTTAAGGTTTTTGTGTTACAGCTTGCCTTTGTTTTTTTCTAATGTATTATCAATCTGAATCTCAGCTCTTTACTTTAGCCCCAATTTAGTTTCTGGTAGAGCAAAGGTACTATAGTGAAACCAAACAGGATGAGTCTTTAACTTGAAACCACTTCCTAACAATTACTTTCCTCACCTATCCTATGGCCCCACCTAGCTCTGACCTTGTTTAATTTGGCCTCTAATTAGATGCCACTTAACTGAAGGACTAGAACTTAAAATTCAATTCAGTGAACATTCGTTTATACTTACCTTGCCCTGAGTCTTTGACTTTTTTCCTCTGGGCTGTTATTTCTTAGTTTAGGATCACTTTTTGAGAGTATGATGCTTTTTTCTTTCAGTCCTTTCAAGAGTATGCCTCTTAAAAATTCAGCTTGCTTTATCCAACTGAACAATTTTAGTTTCTTTTTTTAAAGACATTTGACTATTTTGGTGGTATTCTTTTTACAATACTTCCATAAAGATAATATTTAGATGGACATGGCACATACTTAGGGAGGTATGAGGATGAAGACTTGGTGATTTAAAATTTTTCTTCATAGGAAAGCTTACTCAACTTATCACTGTAAATATGCATTTGGATAGGCTGATATCCAATTTTTTATCATTTTGAATTAGGATCCTTTTAGTGAGGATACTAGTTAGACTCCATAAGTCAGTAGAGAAAGCATGAAATTTCAAGATTATTAACAAAAACATCAAATAGTAATCCTTTCCATAGGTTTATTAAAAAACATCAAGGATTTATTTTCATTTTTCATACTTACTTACTTGAAATATCTGTCAGTGATATATTCTAGTTGTCAATCAGTCTGAATCCTTTGGCTCCAAATTTGCTTTTAATATATACCTTCTCTTGCTAGCTCAGCATAATTTTCAAGCAGGGTAATAGGAAGAGATCAGATCTTTGCACCTTAATTATTTTCTTCCTAAACTTTAAGTATTTGGATTTTATTGTCAAAGCTTTATACAAGGAAAATAAAAATTACCTGTTGGAATGTTGATAAAGCCAATTCTTTAAATTCCTTAGATTTCATTTTGCAAAGCTTTGCTTAACTGAATGTAATTGCTTACTTCCTAACACTCTGGTTTAGTAATCTCCTTTTGGCCAAACATCCTATCCCTTGAAATTACTGTGTGGAAAAAAGTACTGGGACGCAGGAGACCAGGAATCCAGAACTGGCTCTCCAGTTAACTAGTTCCATGCCTATTGTCAAGTCATATCACTTCTCAGACTTCTCTTTTTGCATCTCTAAATGTGAGTTGTCTCAACTCAAAAATGACTGCAGTTTATATCCTGTTTTAGGTTTAACCTTAACTTACTTGGTGATCAGTAGAAATAAAGTGTTTTCTTTCATTTTTATTTAAAATGTACTTCTCCCTGCAATAATTGTATGTTAATATACATGTGCATATCTGTTATAAGTTAAATAGATAGTCATGGTAATTAAGAAATTTATGGATTGTTTCAAAGGCAGAGAAAAATACGTTTTACTCAAAATAGTTAAATATTCTGTATTTTAATAGGAAACTGTTTATATACTTTCTTAAAAGAGGGAACCTTTCTTTGATTACTATTGATTGGAACTTCTAAAATGACAGTTTGCTATTACTATCTTTGTATGTATAACTAAAAAAAATTTAGATCCCTCAGTGGTTTTGAAAGTATATTAAGTCACTTTTCAGCTGATAAAAATTTTGAGACTGGGACTGAATTCATTAAGGTAGTCCAGATTTTGGGGGGGGGGGTTGTTGTTATATTATCATTAACTCTGGCAAAGTCAAAGAGCCATAGCTCAAAATATGGAGTTGGGTTTTTTGTTGGTTTGTTTTTACTGATTTGTTTTGTTTAAGTCTTTCATACTGCTATAGATTGAAGTTATATAGGAATATGTTGGGGTGAAAGAAAAGTAAAGGCTGCTTTAGAATTTTCATTGTTTTAACTCTTCAGGAATTTTATCATTTTTTTCTCCTTTTGTGGTTTCAGTGCGTTTTGAAAACTAAAGCATCGTTACTTTCATGTTTATCAGTTTAAATATTAATGATGGATATTACTTATATATTGCAGCAATTGTGGTGAATCCAAGACTAGCCCAACATTTTAATTTGTTGAGATGCAACAAGTATAAAATGAGTCCTGGATTTGGAGTCAGAAAACTTGGGGTTGAGTCACATGTTCATTAGTAGGTACTTTACATTTCTGTAGCAGTAGCAGTAGTGGTAGTCCTAGTAATGTGAGTTAAGTGTTTATAAAATAATATAAATTGTTTGGGATCTCCTTTTCAGGATAGATGACCATGAAGGTTTTTGTAGTGTTCTCTATTTATTCTGTGACAATAGTATTTGCATAATTCTCTGGCAGAGCCCAAATTCCACCAATTAAGCTTTGTTAATTTTGCCAATGTTGCTTTTACCATTTTTCTCCCCTAGAATAACAACAATCTTGAAGCCTGTTGCCGAGCCCTTTCCCAGGAGAGTAGCAAATACTTATATATGGAGTACCATAGTCCAGATGACAATAGAATGAATAGAAATCGCCTTTTGCATATTAACCTGGGTATCCATTCTCCTAGTAGCTACCACCCAGGAGATGGAGCTCAACTTAATGGTGGTCGAACACTGGTACATAGCTCAAGTGATGGACATATTGATCCACAGCATACAGCAGGTAAACAGCTGATCTGTTTAGTTCAGGAACCACACTCAGCTCCAGCTGTTGTGGCTGCTACTCCCAACTACAATCCATTTTTTATGAATGAACAGAACAGAAGTGCAGCTACTCCTCCTTCACAGCCACCTCAGCAACCATCTTCCATGCAAACAGGAATAAATCCTGCTATGCAAGGGCCTTCACCACCACCACCTCCATCATACATGCACATACCTCGGTATAGTACAAATCCAATTACTGTTACAGTATCCCAGAATCTCCCTTCTGGACAGACTGTACCAAGAGCTTTACAGATTCTTCCACAAATTCCAAGCAATCTCTATGGGTCTCCTGGTTCTATTTATATTAGACAGACATCTCAAAGCTCATCAGGAAGACAAACTCCTCAGAGTACGCCATGGCAGTCCTCACCACAGGGCCCAGTGCCTCATTACAGTCAACGTCCTTTACCTGTGTATCCACACCAACAGAACTATCAACCTTCTCAGTATTCTCCCAAACAGCAGCAGATCCCACAGTCAGCTTACCATTCACCACCTCCTTCTCAGTGTCCTTCACCTTTCAGCTCTCCACAGCATCAAGTGCAACCTTCCCAGTTGGGCCACCCAAGCTCCCACGTGTTTATGCCACCTAGTCCTTCCACTACTCCACCCCATGTATATCAACAAGGAGCTCCTAGCTATCAGAAACAAGGAAGCCATTCAGTAGCTTATCTCCCATACACAGCATCTAGCTTACCCAAAGGTTCCATGAAGAAGATAGAAATTACAGTTGAACCTTCTCAAAGACCTGGGACAGCAATTACTAGGAGTCCATCACCCATCAGTAATCAGCCATCTCCACGGAATCAGCATTCACTGTACACAGCTACCACACCACCTTCAAGTTCTCCTTCAAGAGGGATATGCAATCAACCAAAACCACCATTTAGTGTTAATCCTGTGTATATTACATATACACAGCCAACTGGACCTCCGTCGCCATCTCCTCGGGTGATACCAAACCCAACTACGGTTTTTAAAATTACCGTAGGCCGAGCAACGACCGAAAACCTTTTAAATTTAGTGGACCAAGAAGAGCGCTCTGCAGCACCAGAACCTATTCAGCCCATTTCAGTGATACCAGGCTCTGGAGGAGAAAAGGGAAGCCATAAATATCAGAGAAGTTCTAGTTCTGGATCAGATGACTATGCCTATACACAAGGTAAATTTTAGTCCTTTTATGAAATTTTATCTTTGTGGCAAAGTAGCAATCTCTTACTCAAAACAAAGCAGACTATATTAGCCATTTTTAATTGAATATTTAGTTATTAAGTATAGAACAATAGCATTGCTATTAAAAGAAAGAAGATTAGTGCTTCAGAGTCATCTGCAGATTTTGTTTTAAAATATGAAGTTGCAAGCATGATAATTATGACCTAATCAGACTCTCTTGCGTGGGGGAACATCATCCATTGGGAAAAATACGTACAAATGAAATGGATATTGTCAAAAGTACAAACTGTAGACTGGGGGAAAAAGATTCATACAGGATGGACTACAGTTCACCAAAGAATTTGTATCTTTTCTAAAGAGGATGGCCTGAAAGGCATAGTGATATTTATAAGTAGTGAAATTAGTAATGAAGACCATTGTCAGAATAGCTAATAGTAGACCTCACTAAATCAAAAGGAGAAAAGGAGATTTAAGAAAGTCTATTTAGATTATTTTAGATTGTTTCAAGATATCTTGAGAATTTGGCATTCTTTCAAAATATAAAAGGGAAAGTGATTATAACTCAGTATGTCTGATACTGAGCCTTTTAAAACACATGTAAGTACAGTTAAAGAGAATTTTAGGGAAACTGAAGATGACAGAACAAGAGTGCTGTACTGGTGATAAATAGTTATCAGGATGGCATTAGAAAAACCTTAGAGTAAATGCCAACCAATGTATATAGAAAATTTCCAGTCACGTTTTCAATGTTATTCTCTGCTATGACTTTATCTGTAATGCTGTAGCTTTGCTGTTACATCAGCGAGCAAGGATGGAGAGGTTAGCAAAGCAATTGAAACTTGAAAAAGAGGAGCTAGAGCGGCTGAAGGCTGAAGTTAATGGTATGGAGCATGACCTGATGCAGAGACGGCTTAGAAGGGTCAGCTGCACTACTGCAATCCCCACGGTAAGTGATTTGTTGGGGTGCATTGATAGGAATGTGAGGACATTGGCTGTCCAGGTCGTTTGTTTTTCTGTTAGGTTCTATTCCTGGCAGTTCTGGTTTTTTTTTTTTTTTTTACTAATGGATGCAGGACTTTTGCCTTCAGTAGTTCTGGTCAAAATAATGTGATGCTTTTTACATGTGCAAGTTACACAGGCTCGTTAATATTTTCAAAAACTGATAAAGCATAGCATCTGTCAAAACAGAAATAAAAAGTGAACCCTTGACCAAAAATTTTGTTTTCCATGTACTCATTCTTCTAAACCTTGAAAAACATGTATATCCTAAGTACTTTAATTCATATGAGTTCAAACAAAATAAATACTAATTGTGAGACTATTGACTAGAATATCTTAAAGCAAAGCAGTTTTGTTAAGTGTGATTGTAGAAACTAAGATGAAAATATTGTCTGATAGTGATCCTAAAGGGAACTGCTCTGGTGAAAAGATTTGGATATTTTTAACATGTTTGTTAATGTATGTGAGTTATAATAATCTGAAACAACTCTGAAAATTCTGAAACATTTCTCCTAAAATCTTGAGATTTCACAAACTTTCTATGCTCCAACCTACTATATCACCTTTTAACACTAATGTATTCAAGAAGCATTTTTTGCATATAGTTTAGTATATACCTGCCAATGGGAAAAATAGATACATCAGTAGCTAATTATATTATACTCCAGTGTGGTAAGTGTTGTATATGCTCACGGGTAATGAGAAAACACGTGCATATACTCAGTGCACTTTTCTGCTGTCTCACATGATCCTCCTGGAATGCCCCTCTAAAGCTCTACACATACAAATCATGTTGTTCTTCAAGGCTTACCCTCTACTTTATCCATGTAGCTTTTCCTCCCCTCTCTAAAAACAGGATAATCTCTCTCAGAGAAGTGAGCATTTAAGTTAGAATTCTTGCAGTCAGCACGGCTGCAGCTTTTTTCTCTCAGAGAAGTTTTTGCTTGAGGTTCCTGGCTTCAGAGGGGATCTGTGCATTCCCTGAAATTATATGCAGCTTCATATGTGGGATTATATGGGAGCTGCATATGTAACTTTTATAAGGTTATTGGCTTGAAGGATAGAAGTAGGGATGAGGAGCCACTACCTTACAGGCTAGATAGTACTGCTACAGGCAGCGAGCAAAGGGAAAGACATTTTCGAAGGGAAAAGAACATGAGATAATTAATAAAGGCTTGGAGTAAAGACAGAGTCCTACTTTTGGGAGGCAGTAAAATTTCTGAGGAGTTTACAAAAGTTAATGTGCATGAGGTCAAACAGGGCTTAGACCTTGGACACTACATCAAGGTGTTTGAACTTTATTCTGCTGGTAACAGAACTAGTGGAAGTTTTTGAAAGAAGATATTCTTGAGAAACAGTATATTCATTTTTTTCTGTTGGCAGTATTCCCCAGTTTAGTGAAAGAAGAGGGTTTTTTTTTTTTTTTGCAGTATTGGGGTTTGAACTCAGAGCCTCATGCCTATTAGGCAGGTGCTTTACCACATAAGCCACTCCGCCAGCCCAGAAGAAAAAGTTTTAATTACGTAAAACACTTGGAAAATTACAAAGCTAATTGAAAGGTCATGTTAATGTAAATCAAATCTGTACCTTATTTTTTCCATTTGAGATCTTAATTGAATGCTCTGTTTAGAGAAGATACTGAAGTTTATGACCCATATGGAAATCCACTTATGGGGGTTGGGCACTTTGTAGTCTCAGGTACCTGTAGACCATAAATAAATCTTTTAGCTTAGAAATAATTTTCTTTAAAATAACCATATAGGCTTTGTTAGCAACTACTTGCTGCATGATAATCACTGCTTAATAAAACCCTGATTTTTTAAGATTGGAAGTAGAAAACTGTCCAGTGCTTCAGAAAAAAGCACCAAGATTGATAAGTCATTTTTAGAAAGGAAAAAGAAGTTAGTGAACCTATAATAGTCCATGCTTGCCAAGGACTATCTAGTTTATTTTTAACATTTATTATAGAGAAATAAAGTAAGCAAAATAGTATAATAAGCCCTGGTGTAGCCATTCCCCCAGCTTTAGATATTGATAATTCATGTGGGTAATAAGAGATAAGAAGTCAGAATATGATTGCCTTGTGTTTTTGCTGCCAGACTAGAGTAAAATGGAGGATGATTGGTAGTACATAGCTGAGGAACACTTGAACATGGTGTTAAGACAGTGAGTGGACTTTCAAGTGAGGTGCACTACTTGTGTCACTCATACATCCTTGGATAAATAACATTCTCTGTGCTGCTTTTTTACACATGTAAAGCATTGTACTATATTAGCAGTGTGCAGGTAAAGAATGGAGGCATCAGTGGAGCATGTGACTTAGGAATTATGTCTTGACAGTACAAAAGCTTTCCAAAGAAGTAGGGAAGAAAGGACATTCTTGACACATGCCAAAGCATAAATGCAAAGTTCAGTTAGAAATAATACCAGTCCTACAAATTGTGTCCAGTAAGTGTAAGAGTATATAATAGTTCCTATCTTGTTCTGTTCTGTGCTTATTTTCTTATGTATAAAGCTTGTGTGCACAATAACCAGCAAATAGTAAATGTTCTTATAAAATAGCTTGATTACAAAACACTAGATTTTGCTTAAGATATATATGTGTGTATGCATATGTGTATACATATATACACATATGCATACACACATAACACAAACCTGAAGCATTTTTCAAAACTTTGATTTCCTTTTAAGAACATTTCTGGCATAGGGTATACTAATGAGGGAAATAAATAATTTACTCATAATTTTCTTTTTGTTCATCAAGGCTCATTTGAGTATCCACAAAATAGCTCTGGTACTCACTGGCTATACCTAACTTCCCTGCATTTGATTTTCCCTATCAAAGGGAATTATAACAAGTACAAGTACATTCAATATAAAGAAACAACGTATGTAATGTGCCTGGGGTAGAGTAAGTACTTAGAAAATGACTATTCTTATCATTGTCCCACTTGTCTATAGGAATACCCAATAGAGAATTGACATTTCTGCTAATAAGTACATACTTCCACCTTTAAATTTTCAAACAAATTAATTTCTTATCAAGCAGTGTATAAAAAATTGGTTAGAAGTTCTTGCCTAATGAAACTGGAATGTATATTTGTAACTGGCTATATGTGCGGATGCAGAAACTTTGGCAGTGAAGTAATCCTTTTCTAAGGAGAGAAGTGTGAGATGAACAGTAGTGTCATTTTCCTTCAAATTGCTATTTAAAATGTCCTTACAAAAAGAGAAAAGGTAATGTATTATAGTAAATCAGAAGTGTTGACCAGCTAAATGATAATGATGCATGCACTTTCCGAGCTCAGAGAAAGCAATATTAGCCAGTTGCTAATAAGATCCAGACATGAGATAGTTTCATGGAGGAGAGGGAATATAAGTTTTACCTTGAAGGATAAGTAAGATTTTAATAAGCAGAGAGTTACTGATTGCCCCTTCCCCCTCATCCTGTTCTCATTGAATTTTTGGACTATTCCACAGCTTAGATCCCAGATATATAATTGAGGCCAAGCTAACAAAGAACATCAGTGATCTTTAAGGTTGGTCCCACGAGAGAACTGTTTTAAAGTGCCAAAACAGAGCCTAGCATGGTGGCACACATCCTGTTATAAGCAAACCTAAAATATGCATGGTGAATTGTGAAAACTTTTTTTAATGAAAACACACTGTACTTTTGATAAATGGTAGTAACTTTTGAGAAAGTCTTTTTTCCCTTCTCAATTTAATCAGAAGCAATGAAAAAAAGACATAGGAATCTTACAAACCCTGAGTTGAGTGAGTTCCAGTGGCTCTATCATCTTTGGAAATGAGCTTGTTATAAACAAGTGTAGTAGCCTCTTGACTGTAGTGTATATTATTGTATTTCCATACTTAGTTACATAGTGGCCCCACTATTCTGGGCCGCCATAGCTGAAACCTCTTTCTTCACCCCTCCCCCAAATATATCAACCATGTCACATCTTTTTACATGTCCCTAGGAATATAGAATCATGATTTGGATCTCTTAACTAAGTGCTTTCTTTAAATGTAAATGCTTAAGTATATGTTTTAAACTGTCAATATTGCTTGGTAGGCAAGGTATGTAAGCATTTTACACATTAATATCACATAACTTGCTCAGGAATGAGGAGGAAAAAACAATTCCTAATAAGTATTTACAAGTGATTTTTGTTGTTCTAGCATTCCAAGGGATTGTAGTTCATAGCAAGTTATCATTTATTTTGAAATTTTGAGCCCTAATTTAACATTCTGATGGTACCACCTAAGGGCATAAGATCTTGCATTTTTGTTAAGATGTCCTTTCTGCAAAATTCATTTTTAGCAGAGTAGGATTTTCTCTTTTCCTATAGTAGTAGATATGTAACTTTTTATGTAGTTAAAATAATCCCAGTAATTGAGTTAATACCTGGGCTGTACTGAAAGTTTTGTTTCAGTAATCATGCTTCTTGAGTTCAAACACTGATTTTACTGTTTATGTATATGGACAAAGAATAGCATGGGAATCAAAGGCTTCCAGAAAACTTTAGATTTGGTTCTGTTCCCATTTTAGTGACTCTTGGCACTGAGTGGGTTAAGGAGTTAGTTGGGCTGGAAAGGTTGAGGCAGAAGAGGAAACAAAGGAGTCCACTGTGCCTGAAATGTTTATGTACTAGATTAAGTACTTCCTTTAATCTAAAGAAAAGATTTAGGAATCCATGTGGAAGACTTGTATGTAAGCCCTGGCTTTACCAATTACTGGCTTTTATAACTTTGAGGAAATTAACCTCTATGCCTTAGTTTTCTCATCAGTAAATTGGCGTGACATTGCTGTCTACCTTAATGAATTGTGTAGAAGAAGAAATGAGAGTGCCTGACACTCAGTAAGCACCAATTGAAATTCGTATTTTGGTAATTTTTACTAAGGTAGACAAGACTAAAATCATCAAAATGTTGGTTCTTAGAATTTCTCTTACCATGGAAACATACAATGTTCTCTGTGATTAAAATGATAGTATCTTATATGATAAAACACAATCCAGCATTATAGCCAGCCACTATATGCAACTTTTGTTTATATGCGGCCATTTTGATGTCCCTATTTTATCTGACTATTCCATTAAAAACACATAAGGACTTCTTAAACATGCCCTCCTTCCTATGGACTAAGGCCGTATTCTTGGTAATACCCAATCAGAACGATTAACATGAAACACAATTCTTAAATGTTGGGCTTGATAATTAATGACTTTCCCACAATTGCTGTTTTGGGTCCTTTCTTACTAGCCTGAGGAAATGACAAGATTGAGAAGCACGAACAGACAACTCCAGATAAATGTTGACTGTACACTGAAAGAAGTTGACCTCCTTCAATCTAGAGGTATAGACTTGATTATTTGGTTAAATCCCATAAGTAATAGTGTGGTATTTTAAGCTACTTAAATAGCAATAACTTTGGTTTTGTAGATTTAAGAGATTCCCATGCCCCCATAGTCATGGGCCAGATTGGGGGGATCAAAAATAGTTTTACTTTGGCAGTGATTTAGACTGTTTTATGTTGTTACTTTGCATTTACCTTCTTTTAGTCATTCAGTTTCAATATTTTATAAGTTGGTGGTTTTAATTCAATGACACAATAGAGTTTATATTATGATAGTCATCTAAAATGTTTGTAAAAAAGTAGGGATCCCAAATTAGAGTATCAAAAGTTCTCAGTTTTAAAATAAATTCTATATGGCATTTTATGTTTTGTCATGGGAAGTGTATAATCATGGTGTAGATCTTTGAATTTCTTACAGTAGAAGTTCTCTAACTGACTTTCATTCATCCAGCTCACCAGATTAGAGATGGTCTCCATTTTCTCTGGAAAAATACACCGACTGGTGTACAAAGCTGCTATACACTCTTGACTAATAGGCAACATTTTCACATACCCATATAATGTTGCTTCCATTGGTTGAAATCACTGCCTACTATGTCAGTTATGTCCCCAACACTGTTTATGGCAGTTACTGTATTTCTGCAATTTTAATATTTCACTAACTACCCTGAATGCAGGAGAAAGCTTCTCTTTATATAAAACCCAAAGAAAATTGTTTTTAAGACTCAAAGGCAAATTGGTCAAAATATAAGGATTATAAATCAGATATAAACAAAAAGGGTCGAGGGAGAAAATCATAAGAATCCAAAAGGTCAGAGTGATTTACAAGCATTATTGGTATCTTTCGTGTTACATTCTGAAGAAATCAGAACATACAGATCAGGGTTCAGCAAACTAGGGCCACTGCTGCCTGTTTTTGTAAATAAAAGTTTTAGTTAAATAGTAGCCACACCCATACATATTGTCCCTGGCTACTTTTGTGTTTCAAGGGCACAGTTGAGTGCTTGCAACAGAGATCATATTACAGGTCCACAAAGTCTAATATTTATTATCTGGCCTTTGACAGAAAGTTTACTGACTTCTACTTTAGGTCATCATGAATGTGGCTTATGTAAGACAATGTGGAACTGAGTCATAAAGAAAAGATCTTTGGCAAACGTTAAAATAATGCTATGTTGACTAGGGAGATATAGCTCAGTGGCAGAGCGGTTGCCTAGTGTGCACAAGGCCCTGAGCTTGATCCCTAGCACTGCAAAGAAAAGACTGCTATATTCATGTTTTGTTACATTAAAGTTGATATATAATTTTTATTACTAATTCTGTGTTTTAATCAGCCTTACCCCCACACATACTATTTTTAATTATGGCAGGTAAGAAAGTGTCTATGGTACTTTATATAACACATTTTTAGGCAAGATTAAACAGTACAGGTAGGTGAACTCAAAAGTTACAGAACTATCTGAACAATAAACAGGCAGATTTAAAAGTGACCTATCTAGTCAGATACCCTTTTATTTTCAGAAGCCTAGTCACTGTATAGCCTACTAGTTTTAAGCAATGAAAGAGTCACTACGTGTCAAGTTTTTTTACTTCTCTGGTTTGTGAAGCAAAATAAGAAGTACTAACTGAAATATTTGGTTAGGATGTTTCTGTTAAGCCTTATGGGATCAATTGTAACTTAAGTAATTGAAGAAATAGATCCATGGCATCTTCTAATATACCAAATAGCACTGTGACTTTTACAAGCTATTGTAGGAATTGTTTTTAGAAAATTCTCTTAAAAGCAAATGACATATCCAACTCAAAATATTTTTAATAAAACCTGCACAAAAAAACCCATTATTAAAGTTTTATAAGCCAAGAGTTGTGTTTTGGTCTGCATTTGATGATGACAAACTTACAATAAGTTCTTTTTGGCATCTTAAGGGGACCAGACATAACTATTTAATATGAAATTCTACTTTTCCACACTCTAGAAAACTTTTAAGCTACAGTGGAAATCTAAACTTTTTTTGTTGGGGGTGGGGTAGGTTCAACATTTAGACTAGATATAAGTCAGTGGTACATGAACTGATGAAAAACAGCTTAATTGTTGGTTTTGGTAAAGAAAATTTTTGCTGGGAAAAAAGTCTAGATAAACAAGAGATTCATTATTGTTAAACTGTTAGTACTATATGGTATCCTGTCTAAATATACATGGGTACAGTTACAAAGCTTAACTGGATTTGTATACAATGAACATAGTACAGATAGGTTCATGGAAGTGAAGGGAGGCCCCAAAACTGATAGTAGATCCAAACTGACCTTGGAAGAGTCACAGTAGATGTGGCTAACATATACTACATCAGGGAGTGAACATTTTAAGAGGTGAAAAAATTGTTCTATTTGGAAATTGGTACTGTGTAATCTTCTCATATAATAATCTTGCAGGCAACATCTAACATTGAATTTCAGATTCTCTTTTCATTGAAAATAGGAATCCATGAGCTACTGATGTTTCATATTTATCCAGGGTGCTCAGATATCTCAAAATATAATTTGATTAATCTTTATATATTTGGCTTCTATACATAAAATTTTAAGATAAATTATAAAAGAGCAAACAAGTCAGGCACCCTTTTATTTCTCTTCTTCATTTACTTCCTCAAATGTCCCACAAGCTTTAATTCTGCCTAAAGAGACTAGCTTTTCAATTAGAAGCATTCCCTCAGATAACATATTATATACAAATATTGGTGTGGTTATTTTTTTCTATATTTTGTCACAGTGATAAAACACAACTTCAGTGGGAGGAGGATAGGAATAGTAGAATGAGGTTTGAAACTCTGGAAAACATTTTCTCACATGTTTCATTTATTTCTTTTGAAAAAAATCAAAAGTCCTAACTGCCTGTGATTTGATTTTCTTTATAGGAAACTTTGATCCCAAAGCCATGAATAATTTTTATGACAACATAGAACCTGGCCCAATTGTACCACCAAAACCATCTAAAAAAGGTGAGTAGGGAATGTGACACAAGCATTAGAGAAAATAAATAGGATGACTGGGGCATGGCTCAAGCAGTAGAGCAACTGTCTAGCAAACATGAGGCCCTGAGTTCAAACCTCAGCACTACCAAAAAGAAAAAAAAAAAAAACCTCTAGGATTTCACAAATATCTGAAGAAATTTTCATTTGAGAGATTCATTGACTTGTTCAGCATAAACAAGGTTGCTGTATTGATGTTACTGTGGCAATAATGAAATGTGCCCAAAGTATTAAAAACACAGTAAAAATTATCTCATAATAATTTTTAAGAGTTACTCATTTTAAGGTTAAAACTATAATCCTAAGAGATAACTCATAAAACAATGAAGATTTTAAAGGTCTAATGTTAAAATACAAAGTTCAATTTCAGACAACAAAAGAATCTTTGTATATTCAAAAGGTGAGCCTGACAATTAGATAGGAACTAGGTATAAATCCTGCATATCCAAGTTTTGGAGGAATTATTTTCAGATAGTTGTTACTAAACAACTATTAAAGACATTAAAGATGTTAAAGATATCTAATCTGTTCTCCCAGGTCTTAGGTAAATGTGTAATTGGCATTCTAGTACTTTTATTTAAATGTTGAGCCATTGAATGTAGGGCTTTGCCCCATTCTTATTACTTGTTTTATATGAGACTCTATCTGGAATAATAACTAAAGCATAAACGGTACCTGCCTAGGCAGCATGAGGCCCTGAGTTTAAACCCCAGTAATGCCAAAGCTTTATTTGAATATGTAACATTTTTCATTAGGGAATAAATAGATTCTATCTAAATAATGTAACCTGACCTATGTGTATATTAAGCTCAGTACAGTGTTTATATTTCATTTAAGGATTGCAACACAAGACCCGTTGTTTAATACTACCAATGGATGTTTCATTTGATCTGCATTTGAAATAGCCTGATTTCTAAACTTAGCATAAAAAGTAGTCTTAGAGGATGACTGCCAAGTACTAAAGTTGGCACTATTACATGTGCTTTCATGCTAAAGGACACTGCCCTGCATATACTATATATGTATATATACATATCATGATTACTTTAGCCTTTAAGGTTCAAAAATGAGTCTAGGTTTGATTTTATCTGAGCATCAGGAAGTATCAATTACCAGTAATCAGGCAGGTGAACTTCAGTTAATTGATTCTAGGGCTATCGTGGAGGAACTGATCAGAATTGTGGACAGTCTGTCTCCTGTGAGCCCACGACACATAACTTATCTCCCAGTAGCAGAAGATAAAGCTATACATCTCTTTGGGCAAGGCCAAATTCTTTACTATGCCAAGGGTAAAGCAGTGCTTAAGGAAACTTACAGCTTTAAATGCCTATATAAGATAAGAAGATCTAAAAATCAATGACCTCCAAAGCAGACTGATCTTAAAAAAAAAAAGGAGAAAGAAATTTAAGTCACCACAATCAGGAATGATAGATAACACCTTACATAAAGTGGACACATTTGTTGAAAAATATAAACTACCAACATTGAAAACAAAGTGAACTCTGAAATGGTAGTAGCTATATACTAAAGAAATTGAGTCCATTATCAAAATTTTGGTTTGCTAGTGAGTGAATTCTATCAGTCTTACTTACATTCTTTCAAAAAAGAGAAGGGCATGCTTCCCATCTTTTTCCCTAAAATATATTTGCAAGTGTTTGAATATTTGAACCATGCCCCTAATCCCTCCTAAAGATTTATGTTTGTAGCAAAACATTTCCACAACCCCCTGCCCCTATACATATGGTCTCCCGTTGTACCAACATCCCCCATCAGAGTAGTGCATTTGTTATAATTGAATAATTTACATTGACACCATACCCAAAGTCATAGTTTTCCTTAGGGGTCATTGTTAGTGTTGTACCCCATCTTTTTATTTTATTTTTTAGTGGCTCTTGGGTTTGAACTCAGGGCTTTGGGGCAGGCATTCTGCTTGAGCCCATACCTCCAGCCCCATCCTTTAACAGAGCTAGCAGAACCCTTATTGATAAAGACATTATATACCCAATTCCCCACAAAAAATACAAAATTATAGTCCAACTTCTCATGAGCATAAAAACAATAACAAAAATCCTTAATAAAATGTATACAATGTGTCAAAAGGCTGTGTTCAATGGCTCAGTTTTATTTTTTAAAACTGATAGTTTTGTCTTTTCTTTTTTGGTGTTCCACCACTTGACCCATGCCCCCAAGCTCTTTCTTGCTTTAGTTATTTTTCAGATAGGGTCTCCCCATTTTTGCCTGGGCAGGATCCTCCTGTACAAGTGGGATTACAGGCATGAGCAACTGTGCCTGGCTGCCATTTCTTAAACATGTATCAAATGCATCACAGATTTATAAAAAGCTGTTCAGTTGTGTCTGTGAAGTCAGATTTGTTTTCTGTTAAGTGCTTGTATATTCTTTTTTTCTTTTATTTTGGAGACCGGGTCTCTGCATAGCCCAGGCTGGCCTAGAACTCATAAACCTTCTGCCTCCTGAGTTTGCAGATGTGAGCCACCACATCTAGCTTCATTTGTTTCTTAAACTAAATGGGCCTTTTAAAAAGAAGTACATCTAATTTAGTGCATATTGACTTGCAATACCAGTCAACAACAAAAATCAGTACAATGCTAATATAAACAAGTAGGACTAATTTTATTGGGTTGAATAAATGTCTTGGCATTATTATAGATATATAGTGGAACGTTTTATCTAATTGGACTTTGCAGCTTAGCAATACAATGCATGTGGGAGCTCCTCAAGTGAGTAAGTCTCCCCAAACCCTCATTGGAAAATCACACAGGGGCAAGAGCACTGACCTTGGTGTCACAAGACCTGAACACTGTTCCTTGACATCTTGGCCACCTGACCTTGTTCAGATCTAATCAATTACCACACAAAGGTGATCTCCTCAAATACTGACCTGTGTATCTTAGAAGGATTTTGTAAGAGTGAGTGAGATGAAGGCATGTGATGCTATAAAAGTGCTTTACAAATCTAGAGCTTTATCTTACTCTTTGGAACCTAAGGAAACATTTACTCTGCTCTTATTTACTCTGATAATGGAGTTAAGTTTAAATGCCTAAGCATTATGCTTAGAATTCTGGAGCAATAATTTCCAAAGGTGGATTGTAGTAGGGGATTGCATATGGGCTCAGAACCGATTGGAATAACTAGTCTGCCATTTTTACATAATAACTTATGAATTCATAGAAACAGGATGTGGCAGGCACCAGTGGCTCATGGCTCATGCCTGTAATCCTAGCTTCTTGGGAGACTTTGAGGCTAGACCAGGCAAATAGTTTGAGAGACTTCATGAGGAAAATGGACTAGAGGTGTGATTCAAGCAGTACAGCACCTGCTTTGCAAGCAGAAAGCCCTGGGTTGAAACACCAGTTCCACTGGAAAAATAAAAAACTGGGATGCGTACAGTTCTTATCTGTGTTGCACAGTATCTGCTGAGCTTCTGCATACTTAGGCAATTAGAATTCATGAAATGATTTGGGAACACATGTTTGTACTCACCTAAGGTTCATGCTTGTTAGTCAGGCACTCTAACCTCTTGAGCTCCCAGCCCTTTGTGACTTTGGTTATTTTGAGATAGGATATCACGTTTACGCCTAAGCCAGCCTGGACCATGATGCCAGCTTTTGATGTGATGGGGGTCCTGAACTTTTCACCCACGCAATCCTCAAACCACAGTCCTCCCAAGTAACTAGGATTACAGGCTTCAGCCACTGTGCCCACCAGTACATAGCATTATTTTGAGTCATTTCTGATTTTTCAATACTTTTTTTACTCTTTTGATTATTAAATTTCTTGTTGTAATTCATTGTGTATTTTCACCCCATAAACTATTTAACTGTCATCTATTCAGAGAATTGATATATAATCTCCCAAATTTTGCTTTCACATCAACATTTAATTGCTAAGTTTGTACCCCTAATCCACTAAAAAGTGGGAATCTCGTGAAATAGGGCATTTGTTCCAACTAATTGGAAAGAGTGGAAAAAGTTGTAAGAGCCACTTCTCTGCATAGGTTGTAAAGCAGTGTTAAATGTAGCACTTGCCCTCACAGGAGAACTGAAGGTAACATGAAGCAATAGGAAGAATAAACACACATGGCCGTGGGTTGCGTCAGCAATCCTTGTGAGCCTGTTCACTCTTGCTGAAGAATCACTTGATCCTTTCTTACTGGCTTTGCTTCTTCTTACGCAGACTCCTCAGACCCCTGCACAATTGAGAGAAAAGCCCGAAGAATTAGCGTGACTTCCAAAGTACAGGCAGATGTCCATGACACCCAGGCAGCAGCCGCAGATGGTTTGTACTTGTGTGTCCAGAGTTTGTGTTAACCTACATAGTTATTGTAAGCAAAACCAGACCTTTATTCAACATGTTCTAGTAGTCACACTAAAAAAGATGAGATTATTTGTAATGTATTTTAACCCAGTATATATGAAAACGCTATGCAATTATTAGTGAGGGGGATCTAACTGATACACAGTGTAAGGCTATTCAAAACTGTCACAGTGAATCCCCCTAATAAAAATGGAAAAAAATTACTGAAATATTTTGTATACCTCGAGCATATCAATTTAGACTGACCACATTTCAAGTATATATTGGGCCAGGCACTGATGGCTCACGCCTGTAATCCTAGCTACTCAGGAGGCAGAGATCAGGAGGATCAGAGTGTGAAGCCAGCCCGGGGAAATAATTTGCGAGACCCTATCACAAAAAATTGGGCTGGTGGAGTGGCTCAAAGTGAAGGCTCTGAGTTGAAGCCCCAGTACTGCAAAAAAAAAAAAGTATATATTGGATAGATCAGTTCTCTGGTAATAGTATATAGAAAAGAAAGCCAAATTTTTGAATGATTTGAAAGCTCTGGATTTTGTAAACTTCTCTCTCTAGTTTCTAATGCTTCCTCGTGGCATTTGGGTAAATATTCTACTTAAATTCCCTTAATGTGCAAAGATCCCCTCCTTAAAAAAGCCATATGAAACTACTTTAAAAATTCCTTTCTCCTTTACCATTGGCATATGTGGAAAAGTAAGTTTCTTAAGAGCTTTTCACTTATCTTTGAAACTTAGGTAGAAAATAGAATTAAAAAAATTGTGTTCTGTATTTTTGAGCAATTCGTCTACTGCATTCTAATTACTATATAAGCAATATTGATAAAATTTGTTTGTGAGGAAGGGCCACACCTCAGACCAGTCACCATCAGCTACTGTGGCCATCCCTGTCTTGTAAGAGTAAATTTATTTCTCTATTTTAGTGCAGGCAAGTAGGAAAATATATAATGCCAAGAGAAGTCTATGGATAAGAAACTAATTGAATAAAATACCAGGAGTTGATTTTCACCCTGCTTTGATATAAGTAGTCAGTACTGGACTTTGTTCTGTTACGGTTTGTTTCAGGGAAACATTTTTTAATTGAAAAGGTAAATAGAAAATAGATGTTAGTATTTTTGATATATAATTGAGTATTAGACTTACTTGATTTTTAAATTTTTCTTTAATAAACACAAGTACTTTAACATTTTTAAAAAGTTGTTTGTGAGGCTTTTCATAGAAATTTAACCTACTGAATTGTTTTTATATATGCCATGAAAGTTTTTCATGCCATGAAAAATAAAAGATTGAGCCCCTCTGCCCTGGAAAATCAAATGAGACAGACATGACTAATTTTATCATAGAGAAGTACTATTTTAACATACCTTTTTTACAAACAAAAGGTAAACTTTTGGGGAGGAGTGGTTCAAGTGGTAGAATGCCTGCCTAGCAAGCACAAAGCCCTGAGTTCAAACTGCAGTACTGCTTGTATGTATTTATATTTGGTAAGTTACTTCAGAATGATGTATTATTCCAAATTAAATAGTCACGGTACTAAACAGATAAGACAGTTCCCAGATACCCTGGATTAGTTAGTTCAGTTATAAATTTTACTTTGGAAATCCTTTTCATATTAAATATTTGCACTGCCACAATCTAAAGTTGAAGACTACATTGGGAATTAACTTCTTCATAAAATAACAAGTCACCTGTCATAGGAAAGGATAAAATTGAGTTTTTAGAGCCTGTTGCATAAAAACTAGTAACAGAAATGTATTAATTTTTTTAAATGTTAGGTTTTCAGGCATATTTTTCTTCTGAAAGATAGTCTACTGTATAAGGGAGGATCTTTTCTGGAAATGGCGTGGTAAACATTTTTTCCTATTACAGAAGACTTTCACAGTGTGCTTTTTCTTCTTTATCAGACCCAAAAGAAACTGAATTAATCTACATATTTTGGAGTCATAAGACAGAAGATGGGTGATGATGGCAACTAAAAGTGGCAATTGAAACAGCTCATCTTCTGTTTGTAGTCAGAGGACTAGACTAAAGAAACCTAGTAATTTTCTGTCCTATTGTAAAACTAAAATGTCTTTCCTGATTGAGGTTGAATCTTATCATAGGGTAAAGTTCAAGGCCTTTACCTTTTGGGAGGCATTCACCACTAAAGACAAATTGATAAGCCAGAAGTCAGCTAGTTAATTTTCAGTGGAAGATATGCTCAGCTGAAAACAGTAACTGACAAAGCTTCCCCAGACCTCAGTTTCTTTTGTTATCTACTTGGAAAGGTTGTTTACCTTAGATCTTCATCTCATTTCCAGTTCACAGTCAGGGTTTCCAGTGGATTCTCTCAGTCTCCTGACCTTGCCCCGTATTCTAGGGTAAATTCCATCTGCAGATCTTTAGACTTCTATTTACTGATTCCATTCTCAATAAGAACCTAAAAGGTGGGATTTACTAATTAACTGCAGCAGAGCTGTTTTTGAACACAAGGCCAGAGAGAATAAGTGTCTATCAGAAATACAAATTTTGAGTTTTTAAATCCTGATGATCAGTTGATACATGAAGGACACTTGAGTGCCAAAGAGGTAAGAAAGAATCTGGGAATAAAAGTCTCTTATATTGAATGAATTTTAGCTTTATGAATGACTAGAATCTTTTTTTCACTATTCTGGGAACAAGTTTGTTATCAACTGCCCCTGACATTTATGAACCATTAATGTAAAACACATGTATATCATGGAAGATGGCACACATTGCATAAGGTGTTTATTATACTGTGAATATATAGAAAGGAAAAGCCAAAGTAGGCTGCAGTTGTTAGGGAAAACCTGTGGAGGAGACAGAATTCATTTTTTTCACTTGGCTAGAATAGAGCTGTGTATGGATAGTGAACTAGGAAGGCAACCTGTTCTTGACTTCTGTCCATCTTCTTACAGCAAGAAAGTCAAACTGTTTAGGATAAAGAGAATTCACATATTATAAAATTTCTGTTTAGCTATGCTTTTCCAGTAGGTAGATTTACTAATTGGCTTACCCCATTAGATAAGGTAGAAAATTACACCTCCCTTTGCTGGTAGTTTTTCATTATATTTGTTCCCATTATATTTGGGAACATTTTTAATCTATTTTCCCTTTTCCTTTAATCCTCATTTCCCTTAGAGCATCTAAGTGGCTCCAAACAGAGTCCTCACACACAACCTCGAGATGAAGACTATGAAGGAGCTCCATGGAATTGTGACAGCTGTACCTTTCTCAACCACCCAGCGCTGAATCGCTGTGAGCAGTGCGAAATGCCACGGTACACATGAATTCAGAAAAGTTGGCACCAGGTTGAGAGTGAAACTTTAAGCACCCACCAGAAGAAAAGGAAACCTTGGGAATCTGTTCATCTGCCCAGCCTTTTCATTTCTGATTGCATGGGGGGGGGGGAGGAACAGCACTATGGCCACTGCTCACAAAAGGAAAAATAGGGAGGTCTTTCTTTTTTCCTTTCTTAACTCATTGCAGAGTGTGAAGTAGAAGGGGATACTTGAAACTGGGAAAGGATTCACTCCTGAAAGAATGTACACAGAGAAGTCAAGAGGTCTTCTGTAGAATCCCAATTATTAAGTTACTGCTGAGTGGCCCTTATTGTTTAAAGTCAATCTTTGAATCATGGTATGAAATGTTACAGTTTATGCAGACAAACTGTGAATTCCAGAGCAGACTTACCTGGTCACAGCTCTCTGGAAAACCAAGGCTCTCTGTGCTTCTTCCTGCTGCTTCCTGTAAAGGGAAGGGCAGGAAAAAGCACCCAGGATTATTTTTTTCTTTTTTGGCAAAATAATGAGGGTATTTGTAATTGCTGCTTTTTTCAGAGGTAATTTCAAACACACATACATACACAAACAATATACTTTAAAATGTGATTTGTAGCAGTCAGGAGTTAGGCTTATCAGGCCCTTAGTAGCAAAGTACAATCAGAGGTGTAAAGATCCCTTTGGCTTGTACAATGATTCATCAAGCTATATCAACACTGGTAACTAAGAGATAGATTTTTTTAAGTTACTGTATGTTTTTATTATACCATTGGTTTAAAAAATAAAGTATGATTTAATAAATGACATTCTCATAAAATTGTGCTTTGCCAGTAGCACAGTGAGTGTATGCCAAATGCAAGTCCATTCCAAAACCCATGTGGACATGTTGAGTTCAGCTGTGTTTCTTAAGAAATATTTGCAACTCATAGGGCCTGTCTCCACCTCCTTCCAACTTTGTGATGAATTCATAATGTTTACAGCACAGATAATAGTTTGTGTCATAATCCTAATTTAGCTGAAAAAAGTCAGTATGACCTGTTCAACAAAGATGTGTTTGCACATCAATAAACTGAAGTGAAGGAAATTGTAGTTGGCCAATGTCATAAAGTGCACAGGATTAGCAAGAGAAGGCTAGTCAAGAAATACTACTAGGGGCTGAAGATGTGGCTCAGATAGAATGCCTGCCTAGTAAGCACAAAGCCCAAAGTTCAACCCCAATACCAGCCACCCCCACACACAAAGAAGAAAAAAATTGAAAAGCAACTTTTCAGAAATACTGAATTTGTTAAGATAGTTTAGATAATATTCCAGGACTATTTATGAAACAATTGTGAGTGTGGATAAAGTGAAGAGATAAAATCACATGATTTACAATTCATTACTGGAAAATTAATAGCACATTTAAATAATTTCTCTGCCATTGATGAATTTCCTTCTTGGCTCAGATTTGGGTTTTGGAATCTCCTTCCATTTTGGTGAACATAAACAGCAATAAAGTTGGTAGGTTTTCCCGTCCTGAAGGATTTTACCTGAGGTTGTAGCCTTAGGAATACCAGATGTCCCCCTGTGTACACTAACACACTCTTTGTGCTGTCATTGTAATTTAGCAGTAATCTCTGGCAGACCTGGAAAAACAAGCTGCACTTAATAGCATAATGAAACCAAAGGCATAACTCATCATAGTTTTCCATCAGAATCAGAATTTCACACGCTACCTAGAGCATTCAAAAAATTTTCCTTATGTGCAAAACTCCCCATATTATATCCACTCGTTTCCCAAAGTAAGCATGGTTACATAATTATACTGATAAAGCATCTCTCATACAACTGCAGCAAAACTGTGAAAATAATGGTGAGAAAGTAGACAGGCTTAAAAGCATGGGCTTGAAAACAGCATTCTTCAAAGGCTTTTATAACACTGGTCTCCGTCAGTCTCTAATAACAGCCTTGCACTCGTATGGTTCCATATCTCGTTAGTGATGGTCAATCCTACTTGATGTTAGGAAACAGTGTAGGGGATACACACACACAGCTTGGTGTTGTAGCTAAAAGGTTTACCAGTATTCATAGTGTGATGTTGAAATGGCAGCAGTTAATTTGGCAGTTGACAGTTGAAAATGAAAGTAGCATGTCTGAAAACCATCTGATGCTTTATTAAAACCATGTAGATGACCTTAAAACTATTGCATGAAAATACATCAAGGTTAATATGCTGTTATCATACAGTAAATGCATGGTTTCAGTCCTTTGATGACACATCTAATCAGTCATTGCTTTCACCTGCCAGGAGAAGTGAGGAAACAGTTGATTTACTAAGTGTGGAGAGTGGGGTATGAGACATCAGAGATTGACTTTATGGAAGTTTTGAACATGTTAATTTTTAATTGTGTACAAGTTTCATATGCCAACATTGGCTGTATTCAGTTTGTAATAGTGAGCAAAATAATTTGACACTGATAAATTTGATATATTTAACTGTGTCCCGTATATAGACTGCTTCTTGCTTAAGACCAGTTTGAATAAGAATTCACCCATCTTTTGAGGTGCTTTACAGAGGGATCTCCTATTCAGAATGGTATGCATAAACAGTTGGCATATAAACAGATTATGAAATTGGGGGATGCCTGACTGCTGGGGTGCCTATGCCCTTTGGATCAGGTGGTGTACTCCTCGTTTCTTATAAGAGGCTTTCTTTAAAATCCTAGTTTGATATATCTGGTAACATAGACCTGACTATACACTTTGCATCGTTTCACTGTTTTTTAAACTGGGTTTTTAGAAAGCACATTTGACATTCTGTTAAAAAAGCATTGCCCCATAAGTTTTGGAGTTCTGAAAAAGTTTAAAGTGGAAATAGAGGAGCCAGAAACTTCTAAACATTGTAAAATGTTTCAAGTTCATATTGATCTAGTTTGAGAGAAAGTAGAGGGATTTTAAAGAAATGCATAGTAAAAAAAATGTAGTTTTAGAGCAGATTAATGATGGTGGGGGAAAGTGTTGCTACTTTGTTTATTTCCCTAAAAGAAATGGGAAGTGTGAAAAGCAGTTTAATTTTTAAGGAGCTGGTCTCAACTTTAGTACCTTTTAATTATGAAAGAAATCAATGTTTCCTTAAATTTTTGTCATTGCTTTGTCACAGTTACCTAGGGTTCATATCCAACTTTTGTGGCAACTCAAGCTTAAATAGTCTTTTAAAAGGTTATTGTAATGTCCTTCTGACAGTATAAACAGAAAGCAAGAATATAAAGCATAGAATTGTTCTTTAAAAATATCAATGATGTATCCTGGAATGTGAAGATGACCCTTTATAGTTATAAATTGAATTATTTTAATATTGTACCATTGTTAGACCTTGAATGAGTCCATGTTACAGTGTGTGTGTATCTGTAGAGAAAGGACAATTGAAATGTTACTTTAAAAAAATCAAAATTGGTCACTGCCTTTGTTGCACCACTACTGTATCTTTTTGAAAGAATTAACAGTATTTTCCTATTGTGAAAGTTAATTCTGATAATGTTTTCACATTCACCATTTTCTTCTGTATTATTTGCTTCCCCAAATATTTAATACAAGTAGATTTTGCATGGCTTGGGCATTCAGAGATTAATAGAATGATGACTCAATTTTAATTTCTAAAGCCATGAAAAGTTGCTTTGAGACTGAACAATTCTGAGTTCTTATTTATAACAACACCCAATGTCCATGTTTCTTTCCCTTCTGTAAAAGAATTGATCAGTTTCTTCATTAAAGCAGCAAGAAATTATTAAATCTTGTAAATACCATGTGTCCTTTAGATTTCTGTGTATGCTGTGAATGAGTTATTTTGAGATGAAGTTGTACAAAGGCATTTTAAAAGCTATGCATGCATCGTACCTCCAAACAGTACATATTTAGAAAGTCAAAGTTCTGCAAAATAAATTAATAAACTAAAAACAAGCACTACATTCTGCATCTTTTCTGTGTAGTTAGAAATATTTTAGAGTATCAAACTAGCTCTATTTCCAAACATTTATAGATTCACAAACCTAATTAACACATTTTACATTCTTTACTAGAAAATGTAGTAGTTTCAGATTTTGGGTATTAAGTGCACATGTAAGCACCATTATATAAAAATTAGAAAATTCCTTTTTATTACATTTAACATGATTTACAAAAGAATAATTTTCTTTAAAAAAATATGTCAAACACGGTGGCTCATGCTTGTATCCCAGCTACTAAGGAGGCAGAAATTAGGAGGATCACAATTTGGGGCCAGCCTGGGCAAAAAGTTATCAAGACCCCCAACTCAATCAACACCTGTCATCCCAGTTATGCAGAAGGCATACCCAATTTGCTTACTACTCAGCTTCTAAAATTGTGTATATAAGCATTCTTATTTCATCTATCTCCCTGGATTTTTTTGAAGTTAATCCCAGACATATCATTTTCATTTCATTTATAAATAAACTTTTTAACACAAGAACATTATATGTGTCATACCTTACAAAACCACTTTCCAAATACTGAATGTCCAGTATTAAGTCTTCCCAGTAAGTCTTAGACTTTAAAAAAAATAAAGTTTTCCAAATTAGGATCTGAATGGGATACTTGAAACATAATATGTCTGTTAAGTCTTTGTGGACATATATGTATTCTTGCATTCTCCCTCCTTGCCTATCACAGATCATTTATTAACCTGGATAGCTTCATAAGGAAACTTCCTCATCAACTATTTACTCTCCACCACATCTTACAGTTACATAGTAGAAAACATCAGGCTATGCATGGAGTCTGTAATCCAGCACTGGAGAGGCCTGAGGCAGGAGGGTTCAGAGTTGTTTGAAGCCAGCCTGGGCTACATAGCAAAATTTGTTTCCAAAAAAACGCATCAAAATGTCTTTAAAAGTAGTATTGAAGGGAGTGGGGCAAAATGGCAGATTAGACGTGCCCTCTGTTTTAACTCTGAATGAAAAAGAGGTAACAAAGGAAAATACATTCTAAAGAGAGGAAGAGCTTTGGAGATCATGAGGTGGTAGGACAGCTGAAAACCAGACAAACAGGCAAAATAGAAAAGAAAAACAGTCCCAAGCTCCTACGTTAGCTCTTATGGGTGAGGACCCACACACACAATCACAAGGTAAGCCAAACAGCCCTAGTGACAGGCTGGCGATTGTAGTACTGGATAAGCTCCACACTCCCCACAAGCCTTATACCCAGTGCAGGATTTGGTAAGACTATTCCAGTGTGGAAGGCTAGCTTCTGCAAAAAAAAAAAAAAAAAAAAGGTATTCCCCTTGTCTCAGCTATAGCAAGACACCCATCTTGAGACAGGCTATCAAGGCTGAGCTACTCTGGGGCCTTGTAAAAAAGAAACAAGCAAGGATCATTGTTTTGGGATACCCTGCCACTGAATCTGGGTGAGAGGTGTGATGTCCTGAAGAAGGAGAGGGTCTGCTGTGGTCCTGCTGGAAAGGTTAAATAGCAGGGAACTTCACCAGTGAGCAGAAATCATTCCTGCTCCCTGTGAGTCCCATCACTTGCCGGTCATGTCTAAACAAAGCACCAAGTAACATCAAGTAACATCAAGCTCCCTGCTGATGTACTCAGCCTACAGGACCTTTCTCATGGCTATGTATCTAGCCTTTCTGGGATGGGGGGATGTGTCTGAGTGCCCTGAGCCCAGGTTGATCCCAAATCATGTGATTTTCACAGCCTCCCACATTGGGCAGAGTGCAAAAGCACCTTCCAGGAACTGCACCCCAGTGTGTGTTTTCTGCCTGGTAGGTCAGAAGACCTAAACACTAGATCCTCTGAATCACACTTCCACAGCCTCATCCTCCGCACTGAAGATGAACTGCCAGTCAGGGTCTAAAAGCACTGCTACCTGCATCTCTGTGTTTGCTGCCAAGCAGCTCTGAAGGCCCAGAGTGCAAGCCTTCTAAATCATGTGAATTCAATAGCCTCCTCAAGTAAGTACCAAAGGAGGTAAATTTGGGGATGGGGGTGGAAGCACTGAAACCTCCAAGAAATGTACCCCAGCATGTTTGCTGCCAAGTGAGACTAAAAGTTGCAAACTCAGGCCTGCCAAATCACATGATTTCCAGACGCCTACCCCTCCCCCATGGTAAGTAAACTGCTGGGCAGGGAGTAGAACCACTGAGACCAGCAGGCAGTGTCTCAGTTCTTATCCTGCCAGTGAAGTCAGTGCTCTTGCCTCACCTCATCCCCCCTCATTGGGGTACATCCCTAGGCTTGGAATTGGGGGGATTTTGGTAGAACAAATGGGAATGTGCTGGGCACACAGGCTGTGAGCTCCCTGTGGCAATAGTGCCTTGCAAACAAGGGAAGCATCTATAATGAAAGTAGCCCAGAACCATACTATAAAAGAATATAGCTAGTTTACCTCAACCTGAACAGGACTTGGGATTAGGCCCAAAGCCCTGAGCATGAAGATGAATGCTTGGCTACTGAACCATATTCCCAGTCTAGTGGTAAGAAACGGCACCTCAACCCTGCCACTGCACTGCCTGCCTGAACATTGTGAATGCTTCAATTGAAAGACTACAGGTAAAGAGAACTTCCAACCAGTGGCTTGGCCTCAAATAACACAAATCCCAATGCAGAAGCCAAGAAATAGGAACAAAAAACTCTTAACATGATTCCTCCAAAACTCAACAACTCCACATTAACAATCACCAAGGATAGTGAAGTGAATGACATCTCAAAAAATCTTTAAAATAATAATGATCAATGAAATTAAAGAAAATATGAAAAAGTGCCTGAATTAATTCCAGAAAACTCAAAGAGTGGAATGAAATAAAACAGATAATGCAGGATATGAAAGATGAATTCAATAAAGATAAAGAAATTCTGAGAAAATCAAATTGAAATTCTGGAAATGAAGCTGAAGTCAAAAAACTGAGTTGAAAGTCTCTCCAATAGACTTGATCAAATTGAGGACAGAATATCAGGGCTTGAAGATAGATGTACTAGAATGTTCTGATGAAGATAAAAAGTATGAACATAGCATGCAAGGTCTCTGTGACACAATTAAAAGACCAAACCTATGGGTCATGGGAATAGACAAACAAGAGGATTAAGCTTAAGGCACAGAAAACATATCCAATAAAGCAATAGTAAAATGCTTCCCAAATTTATGAAGAGGTGGTCCTTAAGATACAGGAGACTTTTAAGACTCCAAACAGATAAGACCAGAAAAGAACCACTCCTAAGCACATTACAGTTAAAAATTAGGTATACAGAACAAAGGAAGGATATTGAAAGCTGTAAGAGAAAGTTGCCAAGTCACCAATGAAGGCAAACTCATCAGAGTAACATTTCTCAACAGAAACTTTAAAAGCAAGGTGAGCATGAAATGATGTATTTTGAGCCCTGATAGAAAACAACTGCCAATGTAGATTACTCTATCCATCCAAGCTATTCTTCATAATTGAAGGAGAAATGAAAACCTTCCATGATTAAAAAAAAAACCCTAAGGCACACTTCATGACCACTACATCAGTATTGCAGGAGATACTTAAAGAGATCCTACATACAGAATATGAAGATAAATGCAGCCATGAAGATACTTGAAAGAATAAATCTGACTAGAAGAATAAAGGAGCAAATAGGAAGTAGCAAGAATTAAACACTACAAAAATAACAAGATGACTAGGACTACTACATACCTTTCAATAATAACTCAAAGTTAATGGTCCCACTTCTCCAATCAAAGACATAATAGACTGGCAGATTTGTTTAAAAAACAAGATCCAACTCTTTGTTCCCTGTAACAAATGCACCTCACTGGCAAAGACAAAAACAGGCTTAAAGTGAAAGGATAGGATATGATTTTACAATCAAATGGAAGCCAAAACCAAACAGGAGTAGCTATACTCATCCCTTAGAAAGCAGGATTCAACCCAAAATTAGTCAAAGAGGGTCACTTCATATTGACAAAGCAAACAATCCATCAAGATGATATAATAATTGTAAACATATGCACTGAATGTCAGCATACCCAATTCAATAAGGTAAACACTGCTAAACAAAAGTGCTGAACAAAAAAAAATAATAAGGAAACCAGAATTAAATGATACAATAGATAAAATGAACATAACAGTCATCTATGGAATAGTCTACACCAAAGCCACAGAATAATCAAGAAAAGAAACAACAAATGCTAGTGGGGATGTGGGGACAAAGGAACCGTCATACACTGTTGGTGGAAATGTAAATTAGTGCAGCTACTAGGGAAACCTGTATGGAGGATCCACGAAAAACTAAAAATACAACTACCATAAATTTCTGCTATACCACTCTGGGCATATATCCAAAGGAATGTGAGTCAGCAAAAAATAGAGACACCTGCATACCCAGTTTTATTATCAGCACTATTTACAACAGCCAAACTATGAAATCAGCCTAAATGCCTATTAACCAATGAATGAATAAAGAAAATGTGATACACACACACACTAGAATATTATTCAGCCATACAGAAGAATGAAATGATGGTCATTTGCAGGAAAATGGATGGAAATGGAGATCATCATGTTAAGGAAAAGGACAACTATCACATGTTCTTTCTCACATGTGGAATGTAGGCTAAAAAGAATTACATGATTGTAGAATGGGCACTGTTTGTGGAGGGGAACCAGTGGAATGGTGGAAGGTGAAAGGAGAGGGTGATGGGGGGATTAAGATCAAAGTACTTTATATGAAGGTATGAAAATAGTATTGTGAAGCCCATTACAACTGGTTAAAAAGAGGGAGGGGGACCACAAAGACCAATGGAGGGGGTGAATTTGATCAAAGCACATTAAATGCATTTGTGGACGTATCACAACAAAACCACTCTGTACAACATACACTAATAAAAAAACGTAGAATGTGGAATATTTTTCATACTCTCATTATTTCCATATCCTAGGTTGTCTTTCTTAAATAA